GATTCTGTGTGTGTGTATGATTTTGTGTGTGTGTCTATGATTCTGTGTGTGTGTCTATGATTCTGTGTGTGTGTCTATGATTCTGTGTGTGTGTCTATGATCCTGTGTGTGTGTGTCTATGATTCTGTGTTTGTGTCTATGATCCTGTGTTTGTGTCTATGATTCTGTGTTTGTGTCTATGATTTTGTGTGTGTGTGTCTATGATTCTGTGTGTATGTTTCTATGATTATGTGTGTGTCTATGATTATGTGTGTGTGTCTATGATCCTGTGTTTGTGTCTATGATTCTGTGTGTGTCTATGATCCTGTGTGTGTGTCTATGATTCTGTGTGTGTGTGTTTATGTTTTTGTGTGTCTATGATCCTGTGTGTGTGTCTATGATTCAGTGTGTGTGTCTATGATTCTGTGTGTGTGTCTATGATTCTCTGTGTGTGTCTATGATTCTGTGTGTGTGTCTATGATTCTGTATGTGTGTCTATGATCCTGTGTGTGTCTATGATTCTGTGTGTGTCTCTATGATCCTGTGTGTGTCTATGATTCTGTGTGTGTCTATGATCCTGTGTGTGTGTCTATGATTCTGTGTGTGTCTATGATCCTGTGTGTGTCTATGATTCTGTGTGTGTTTCTATGATCCTGTGTGTGTCTATGATTCTGTGTGTGTGTCTATGATCCTGTGTGTGTGTCTATGATTCTGTGTGTGTCTATGATTCTGTGTGTATGTCTATGATTCTGTGTGTGTCTATGATTCTGTGTGTGTGTCTATGATTTTGTGTGTGTGTCTATGATTCTGTGCGTGTGTCTATGATTCTGTGTTTGTGTCTATGATTCTGTGTGTGTGTCTATGATCCTGTGTGTGTGTGTCTATGATTCTTTGTTTGTGTCTATGATCCTGTGTTTGTGTCTATGATTCTGTGTTTGTGTCTATGATTTTGTGTGTGTGTGTCTATGATTCTGTGTGTATGTTTCTATGATTATGTGTGTGTCTATGATTATGTGTGTGTGTCTATGATCCTGTGTGTGTGTCTATGATTCTGTGTGTGTCTATGATCCTGTGTGTGTGTCTATGATTCTGTGTGTGTGTGTGTTTATGTTTTTGTCTGTGTGTGTCTATGATCCTGTGTGTGTGTCTATGATTCAGTGTGTGTGTCTATGATTCTGTGTGTGTGTCTATGATTCTGTGTGTGTGTCTATGATTCTGTGTGTGTGTCTATGATCCTGTGTGTGTGTCTATGATTCTGTGTGTGTCTCTATGATCCTGTGTGTGTCTATGATTCTGTGTGTGTGTGTCTATGATCCTGTGTGTGTGTCTATGATTCTGTGTGTGTTTCTATGATCCTGTGTGTGTCTATGATTCTGTGTGTGTGTCTATGTTTATGTGTGTATGTCTATGATTCTGTGTGTGTGTCTATGATACTGTGTGTGTCTATGATTCTGTGTGTGAGTCTATGATTCTGTGTGTGTGTGTGTCTTTGATTCTGTGTGTATGTCTATGATTCTGTGTGTGTGTCTATGATTCTGTGTGTGTCTATGAGTCTGTGTGTGTCTATGATTCTGTGTGTGTCTATGATTCTGTATGTATGTTTCTATGATTATGTGTGTCTATGATTATGTGTGTGTCTATGATCCTGTGTGTGTTTCTATGATTCTGTGTGTGTGTCTATGATCCTGTGTGTGTCTATGATTCTGTGTGTGTGTCTATATTTACGTGTGTGTGTCTATGATTCTGTGTGTGTGTCTATGATTCTGTGTGTGTGTCTATGATCCTGTGTGTGTCTATGATTCTGTGTGTGTGTCTATATTTACGTGTGTGTATCTATGATTGTGTGTGTGTCTTTGATTCTGTGTTTGTGTCTATGATCCTGTGTTTGTGTCTATGATTCTGTGTTTGTGTCTATGATCCTGTGTGTGTGTGTATGATCCTGTGTGTATGTTTCTATGATTATGTGTGTGTCTATGATTATATGTGTATCTGTGATCCTGTGTGTCTATGATTCTGTGTGTGTGTCTATGATCCTGTGTTTGTGTCTATGATTCTGTGTTTTTGTCTATGATTCTGTGTGTGTGTCTATGATTCTGTGTGTGTGTCTATGATTCTGTATGTATGTTTCTTTGATTATGTGTGTCTATGATTATGTGTGTGTGTCTATGATCCTGTGTGTGTGTCTATGATTCTCTGTGTGTGTCTATGATCCTGTGTGTGTGTCTATGATTCTGTGTGTGTGTCTATATTTACATGTGTGTCTTTGATTCAGTGTGTGTCTATGATTCTGTGTGTGTGTCTATGATCCTGTGTGTGTCTATGATTCTTAGTGTGTGTCTATGATTCTGTGTGTGTCTATGATTCTGTGTGTGTGTCTATGATCCTGTGTGTGTGTCTATGATTCTGTGTGTGTGTCTATGATTCTATGTGTGTCTATGATTCTGTATGTGTGTCTATGATTCAGTGTGTGTGGCTATGATTCTGTGTGTGTGTCTACGATCCTGTGTGTGTCTATGATTCTGTGTGTGTCTATGATTCTGTGTGTATGTCTATGATTCTGTGTGTGTGTCTATGATCCTGTGTGTGTGTCTATGATTCTGTGTGTGTGTCTATGATTCAGTGTGTGTGCCTATGATTCTGTGTGTGTCTATGATTCTGTGTTTGTGTCTATGATCCTGTATTTGTGTCTATGATTCTGTGTTTGTGTCTATGATTCTGTGTGTGTGTCTATGATTATGTGTGTGTGTCAATGATTCTGTGTGTGTGTCTATGATTCTGTGTGTGTGTCTATGATCCTGTGTGTGTGTCTATGATTCTGTGTGTGTGTCTATGATTCTGTGTGTGTGTGTCTATGATCCTGTGTGTGTGTCTATAATTCTGTGTGTGTGTCTATGATTCTGTGTGTGTCTATGATTCTGTGTGTGTGTCTATGATTCTGTGTGTGTGTCTATGATTCAGTGTGTGTGGCTATGATTCTGTGTGTGTCTACGATCCTGTGTGTCTATGATTCTGTGTGTGTCTATGATTCTGTGTGTATGTCTATGATTCTGTGTGTGTGTCTATGATCCTGTGTGTGTGTCTATGATTCTGTGTGTGTGTCTATGATTCAGTGTGTGTGCCTATGATTCTGTGTGTGTCTATGATTCTGTGTTTGTGTCTATGATCCTGTATTTGTGTCTATGATTCTGTGTTTGCGTCTATGATCCTGTGTGTGTCTATGATTCTGAGTGTGTTTCTATGATCCTGTGTGTGTCTATGATTCTGTGTGTGTCTATGATCCTGTGTGTGTGTCTATGATTCTGTGTGTGTGTCTATGATTCTGTGTGTGTGTCTATGATTCTGTGTGTGTGTCTATAATTCTGTGTGTGTCTATGATTTTGTGTGTGTGTCTATGATTCTGTGTGTGTCTTTGATTCTGTGTGTGTGTCTATGATTCTGTGTGTGTGTCTATGATTCTGTGTGTGTGTCTATGATTCTGTGTGTGTCTATGATTCTGTGTGTGTGTGTCTATGATTCTGTGTGTGTGTGTCTATGATTCTGTGTGTGTGTATCTATGATTCCGTGTGTATGTTTCTATGATTATGTGTGTGTCTATGATTATGTGTGTGTGTCTATGATTCTGTGTGTGTGTCTATGATTCTGTGTGTGTGTGTCTATGATTCTGTGTGTGTATGTCTATGATTCTGTGTGTGTGTCTATGATTCTGTGTGTGTGTGTCTATGATTCTGTGTGTGTGTCTATGATTCTGTGTGTGTGTGTCTCGCACCCCCTCTTCTCCGGGGGTGATGCGAAGCGTCCGGAAAGTTGAGGGTCACCCCTGAAACTCGCGGCCAAACACTGGTGACGTTTATCTGAAACAGTTCCGGTACCTCCCCTAGTTCGACTCGGCCTCAAATACGTACGTGCCTGGTTCCGTATGTAAACATCGTCACTAGGGGAGACAAAGGCGGCCGGGCGTGGTGCTGGCCACCCACGCCATCGTGTGCCGTGCCGGCCTTCACAGGTGCTGCTACTCGCTAACAGCACTTGCTCCGACAGTCTGTTGTGCTTTTTTCTTCTTGAATGTCACGATAATAACGTGACACAGATCTCTCTGTACGGCTGTTGTTGTTGTCTGTGTCGGTCGTGCAGTAAACAAAAAACGTTGGAACCGTCCCATTAACGTTGTCGTTTAGGGCTCAGATCGGACTCTATCCCACCCGTGTCTCCCACCCGTGTCTCCCACTCACCTGTCTCTACCACCCGTGCCTCCCACTCACCCGTGCCTCCCACTCACCCGTGCCTCCCACTCACCCGTGCCACTCACTCACCCGTGCCTCCCACTCACCCGTGCCTCCCACTCACCCGTGTCTCCCACCCACCCGTGCCTCCCACCCACCCGTGCCTCCCACCCACCCGTGCCTCCCACTCACCCGTGTCTCCCACCCACCCGTGTCTCCCACTCACCCGTGCCACTCACCCGTGCCTCCCACTCACCCGTGCCTCCCACTCACCCGTGTCTCCCACTCACCCGTGCCACTCACCCGTGCCTCCCACTCACCCGTGCCTCCCACTCACCCGTGCCTCCCACTCACCCGTGCCTCCCACTCACCCGTGCCTCCCACTCACCCGTGCCTCCCACTCACCCGTGTCTCCCACCCGTGCCTCCCACTCACCCGTGTCTCCCACTCACCCGTGTCTCCCATCCACCCGTGTCTCCCACTCACCCGTGTCTCCCACCCACCCGTGTCTCCCACTCACCCGTGTCTCCCACCCACCCGTGTCTCCCACCCACCCGTGTCTCCCACTCACCCGTGTCTCCCACTCACCCGTGTCTCCCACCCACCCGTGTCTCCCACCCACCCGTGTCTCCCACTCACCCGTGTCTCCCACCCACCCGTGTCTCCCACCCACCCGTGTCTCCCACCCCTGTCTCCCACCCACCCGTGTCTCCCACCCACCCGTGCCTCCCACCCACCCGTGCCTCCCACTCACCCGTGTCTCCCACTCACCCGTGTCTCCCACCCATGTCTCCCACTCACCTGTACAAAGCTCCCCCCCTCCGTCACGTGCCGAGCCCGCTCCACGTGTGGGGGCAGGATGATGGCTGCCACTGCTGCTGATACTGATACTGCTGATGCTACTGCTGATGCTGTTGGTGCTGCTACTGTTGCTGATATTGATACTGCTGCTGGTGCTGATACTGATACTGCTGCTGATACTGCTGCTGCTACTGCTGCTACTGCTGATGCTGCTGCTGCTACTGCTGGTGCTGCTGATGCTGGTGCTGCTACTGGTACTGCTACTGCTGCTGATACTGATACTGCTGCTGATACTGATACTGCTGCTGATACTGCTGCTACTGCTGGTGCTGCTACTGGTACTGCTGCTGCTGCTTCTGCTGATACTGCTGATACTGTTGCTACTGCTGCTACTGCTGGTGGTGCTGCTGCTACTGATGGTGCTGCTACTGATGGTGCTGCTACTGCTGCTACTGCTGCTACTACTGGTACTGGTACTGCTGCTACTGCTGGTGCTGCTGCTACTGCTGCTGCTACTGCTGATACTGCTACTACTGGTACTGCTGCTACTGCTGGTGCTGCTGCTACTGCTGCTGCTACTGCTGCTGCTGCTGATACTGCTACTACTGCTGCTACTACTGGTACTGCTACTGCTGCTGCTGATACTGTTGCTGCTACTGCTGCTACTACTGGTACTACTACTGCTGCTACTGCTGCTACTACTGGTACTACTACTGCTGCTACTGCTGCTACTACTGGTACTACTACTGCTGCTACTGCTGCTACTACTGGTACTACTACTGCTGCTGTTGCTGGTGCTGCTGCTACTGCTGCTACTACTGGTACAACTACTGCTACTACTGCTACTACTGCTGCTGCTGCTGGTGCTACTGCTACTGCTGCTACTACTGCTACTACTACTGCTGCTGTTGGTGCTGCTGCTGGTGCTACTGCTGCTGCTACTACTGCTGCTGCTGCTACTACTGCTGCTACTGCTGCTACTACTGCTGCTGGTACTGCTCCCCGCGGGATGGGAGCAGGGTCGGAGTCTGGGATGTGGAGCGGGGATCGCGGGGCGGGGGAGGAATGGCGGTGAGAGGGGGGGAGTTTGTGAGTTGGGGGGAGGGGCGTGGTTGTTTGATACCGGTTACCGGTTCGGAGCATTCACGAACCGGTAACCGATTTCATTGCAATTTTGGCAATGGTTGCACCGATTGAAACCTCCCTCCCCCCTCCCCCCCCCATTGTCTCAACTACCGCGCCGGGAGCTGGAATCGAACCGGTGAGCTGCGGATCGCGAGTCAAATGTAGTTCTACCTGATGACGGTTGCTTGTGTTGCAATCGAAACGTCGTACTCTATTATTTAATTTATTTTCTTTCTCCGTGACTTTACCGAAAGAACCAAAGAGTTATTCCTGCAGTCACGGAAGCTTCAAATCAAGTCTGAGCATTAACCGGTTTTCCCGAGCGGTTACCGGTTATTAAAAAAGCCCTCGTGAGGTTTGCGTGTTCATCAAAACCGTCCCACTGTGCGCGGGGCCTTACAATTAATTACACACACACACACAAAACACACACACACAATGGGTGACGTTTCGGGCAATGGCCCTCCTTTAGAGCCCCATGCATAACAGCGTGCCCCCGATAGGAATAATACGAGTTGGTGACTTTTGAGAATTTAACTTTTTTAAAAAGTGTGAAAAAATAATAATAATAATAGGGGTGTTTTACCCTTTCTGGCAATGAAGTTGTGTTAAGGGGCCGTCCATAAATGACGTCACGCGATTTTGGACGATTTTTGACCCCCCACCCGCGTCACACGGCGTCACAAAAAGTCAGAGCCCCCCCCTCAAATATGACGTCACAAAGCTCTGCCCCCCCCCCCCCAAAACCATATTTCCATTTAAAAAATAAAACATGCTTCAAGTCGCTGTAAACTATTGTCATTGTAGTAGTGCGTATTTAATGTGGCGCTGCACTCTGATGTTGTAGGAGCGTTGTTATAACAATTAGTGTTGTTATAACAATTAGTGTTGTTATAACAATTAGTGTTGTTATAACAATTAGTGTTGTTATAACAATTAGTGTTGTTGGAACAATTAGTGTTGTTATAACAATTAGTGTTGTTATAACAATTAGTGTTGTTATAACAATTAGTGTTGTTATAACAATTAGTGTTGTTAGAACAATTAGTGCTGTTAGAACAATTAGTGTTGTTGTAACAATTAGTGTTGTTGTAACAATTAGTGTTGTTGTAACAATTAGTGTTGTTAGAACAATTAGTGTTGTTATAACAATTAGTGTTGTTATAACAATTAGTGTTGTTGGAACAATTAGTGTTGTTAGAACAATTAGTGTTGTTGGAACAATTAGTGTTGTTATAACAATTAGTGTTGTTGTAACAATTAGTGTTGTTATAACAATTAGTGTTGTTATAACAATTAGTGTTGTTGTAACAATTAGTGTTGTTATAACAATTAGTGTTGTTAGAACAATTAGTGTTGTTGTAACAATTAGTGTTGTTATAACAATTAGTGTTGTTGTAACAATTAGTGTTGTTATAACAATTAGTGTTGTTGTAACAATTAGTGTTGTTAGAACAATTAGTGTTGTTATAACAATTAGTGTTGTTAGAACAATTAGTGTTGTTAGAACAATTAGTGTTGTTATAACAATTAGTGTTGTTGTAGCAATTAGTGCTGTTAGAACAATTAGTGTTGTTGTAACAATTAGTGTTGTTGTAACAATTAGTGTTGTTATAACAATTAGTGTTGTTATAACAATTAGTGCTGTTGTAACAATTAGTGTTGTTAGAACAATTAGTGTTGTTAGAACAATTAGTGTTGTTAGAACAATTCTATATTTATTTAAAGTTGCGCATTTTTACGTGACGTCACATTTCTCAACCCCCCCCCCCCGTCACAAATGTCTGACCCCCCACTCCCCCCCCCCCTCTAGGTGCGTGACGTCATTTATGGATGGCCCCTAAGATGTTCAAACACCAAATGTAAACATTTTGCGAGGAATCGCGTTTCTGCGTGTCACCACCCACACACGGCTCTTGTGGTGAACATGCCCACACACACGTGGCCCTGACCATATATGACGCATTCTCCTTGAAAGACACTGGCCACTGTGAGTCTATGGGTCTCTGTGAGTCTATGAGCCTCTGTGTGCTGAATCTGTGGGTCTCTATGAGTCTATGGGTCTCTGTGAGTCTATGGGTCACTGTGAGTCGATGGGCCTCTGTGTGCTTAGTTTGTGAGTCTATGGGTCTTCGCGAGTCTATGGGTCTGAGGCTATGGGGCTCTGTGTGAGTCTATGGGTCTCTTTGTCCCGTGTTACATTCAAGACACAACAGCCTTCTTTCGGGCCGAGTCTCTCACCGGTGTCAGATCAGAGAGCATCGAAAAGCGACGAGCACCAGGACGATGCCACTATCAGGACATTTATAGCTTGGGGGGCGGGGGGAGCTGCTACCATAAAAGTGTTAAAGCTAAGACTAGTTGTTGCAGCCTTTTTCCTGCGAATGAAACGGGAGTTGTGTTAAGATGCTCAAACGCCAAATGGATGAGACATTTTGCGAGGGATCAAATTGACTGCAATGAATCACCACACGGTGCTTTGCGGTGAACATGACTCTGATCATACAATGGGCCAATGTCCTCGAAACCGATTGGCCTCGTCTCTCTGCCCCGACACTAGTGAGACCAAGGCCCTGAAGAAGGCCTTCGATAGTGTAGGCCAGAATAAAAAAAATAGATGTAAATTTGAAAACGAATTTCCTGCCTAAAATAAAAAAAATTCACTAACACGTGTGAATGACTTTTATTTATTTTAACAATAATGTCTAATAGTGTATTGTTTTACATTGCTCTGTTTTTACTTTTTCACCTTTTCTTGTTTCATCGTATTTAAAGGCAGAGATTAGGGATTTATGAAGTACAACCATAACCACAATCATCTAAACAGAAATCTTTTTTTTATAGAAATATATTGGGGGGGGGGGGGGACATTTTGAGCATATTTATGATAATTACTGCCTTGGTGTAGGCCAATCAGTCTCCAGGACAATGTTTACATTGATTTGGAGCATTCGTGACTGCAGGAATCAATTCTCTTTGGGTTGGTAAAGTCATGACGCAGTGGGTAGAAAATAAAATTAAATCACGACGTTTCGATCTCAACTCAAGCGTCCGTCATCAGGTGGAACAGTGACAGCATGAGAACTGCTGACAGCAGATGGCACATTTAGCGAGGAATGCTGACAGCAGTTATCCTGTTGTCTCTGTTCCACCTAGTGAAAGAACCAGAGTAACGCCCACATTATCATTATCATCAGAGCCATGTTTCTTTGCATTGCCACCACAAAATACTACTGGTAATTGCAAACATGATGCCTTGAATAAAGGTGTCAGTTTTTTGTGCCAGTTAAAAGGGTAAAACCTATTCCTATATCTTGATATTTGGTGTTTGAACATCTTAAAACAACTGTTTTATTGCTAGAACGGGGTTGAATCTATTCCTAATTTTTCAGTCTTGTAGCTGCTCACCCCGAGCCCTCAATGCCCTGATAATGGCATTGTCCTTGCCCTGTTCGCCTTTGGGCGTTCTCTGATCTGACACTGTTGAGACGAAGGCTGCCATCTCTTCTGTAGGCCAATAGGTCTCAAAGACCACGCATCATGTATGATTATCATGACATGTGTGTTTGCATGTTCAGCACAAGTAGCGTTGTGTGGATCATGCAGTAACTCGATTCCTTGCGAAATGTTTCTAGTTTTGGTGTTTAAACGTCTTCGCACAACCGACGTTTTATTGCCGGAAAAAGGCTAAAGCGCCCCTATTCTTATTTTTTCTTCATACTTTGACACTAGCAAAAAAACAGGGGTCCCGTGTTACATTCAAGACTAGAGACTCGTCCAGCGCTGCATCTCGTGGGGAGGGGGCGAGATGGGGGGGGGGCTCTCACCTGGCCCCGGCCCAAGCCCCGGGGCGTTGCGACAGGGAGCAGGCGCTCTGACGTCACCCGTCAGCGGAACACGCCGGCTGACGTTGGGCAATGAACACTGTCCTCATCACCGTCGTCATCATCATCACCATCGTCAGCGGCACCACCACAACCACGGCATTGTCACCAGTCACGTCGTCTTC